TGTGGCTAACTGAACTGTCTCCCTTCCAGTATCCTGTGAACCAGATCCCCAGACGTGAACCTGAACCAGACATATACATATGTACCTTTGTTCAATAAACTTTGTTAAACTTTTACTCCAGTTTCCGTCTCCGTTGTGTTCTGCATATTGGGCCTCTCTGAACCAATCATGACACTTTAATTCAAATATACAAAGACATATAGTTAAAAATGCCACAAAATTGCACCTGAGACATGCAGGCTTCTTGGGCTCAACAGTTTATTTAAAAAAATAAATAGAGAGCCAACCATCTTATGTCACGACTTCTAACTGTTTTTATAAGAGAAATAAAAGAGAGGTGTTCACAGGGTTACTGCTGACTATATTATTTATTTCCACCACACTTTATGATAACTTTAATAGATGTTTTATTAAAATCACACATAATTTAGAAACTTACATGATAGCAGTTTCTACCAAACATGTTAGCATTAGGCTTAAAGATAGTTTCTGTCTCTATAACCTATATTTTCTCATATAGTCATAATAGTCTTATCATTATAACAGAGTTGGCCACAGCTGATCTGTGACATGAACGCCATTGGACAGAAAGGATCCGCTGTCAGCATGTCAAGATGTGGCCAAGATGGATGTTGGATACAGGAAAAGGAAGAGTTATAGAGGAGAGAGCAGTCATTTGGCTGCACAGCCCTGGGGCATGTGGAGCCTGAGCCACTATGATCACAGAGCATGCAGATGATAAGCCTATAAATAGAAAAAAATGAAAGAAGGGACAAAGGCTATTTCCTTTATAAAACTACGCAGAGGAATAAGTGGTACTGGAATGCAAACGCAACAACCACTAGATCAAATTATGATTTAAATAGCTGTGCATGATGGAAGTATTGACACCATGCATATTTTTAATTTATTTTAGGTTTATTTTGATAGACTACAAAAAAAATTCAGTTGGATTTAGCTCTAGACCTTAACAGGTTACTCATACAGTGGTCTTTGCTTTGATCACAACAATGTTCTCTGTTTAAGGTTGCTGCTGTGCTGGAAGATGAACCTCCCCCCTCCAGGACTGGCCTATATGTTGCTCACTCCCCCCTATGAGCAGCATCTCTGTCTTATCACTGAAAAGCTTCCCCATGACACGAGGCTGCCATTGTCATGTTTCAAGTGGGGGTTGATGTGATCAGGACGAGACAGACATGCTATTTTGTTTGTAGCATCACTTTATCCTGAATGTTTGTTCTTTCCACTACATTACTTGGGTTAAAGTAGTTTTTTTTAAATATAAATGTCTTTTAACAGTACAAAAAGTTGACACTCATTCATAGAGGCCAGATTTTTGGAGCATCGGCCTGAATGGATTCCCTATCTCCTGGGTAACTCCTTAAAAGTTACCATAGGATTCAACAGCTTCTTTTTGATGGCTTATCTTATTAAAAGAATCCTTTTTTAAACTTTTGCACAACTTTATCCTCGTTATTTCTGTGTTCATTGGTCTTAGTCCATTGGTTGAGATTGGATTTATTCATTTTTAGATTGTGCAATAAAGGATATAGCATATAAATCTGCACGATGGTTTTTTCAGATTTTTATTTTCAATTGTATTTAGCGATAAAGAGGAAAGCCATGAGACAAAAGTTATGGGTTTACAATCAGTAGTTTATCTTTTCATCAGTTCAGGGGAAAACAACTGCATTATCCAAATGACAGACTGATAGTAGTTTCTAGGAAAATGATCTAAAATGTGTACCCTGCAAGTGCCATTGACCAGAGAGAGTTAGCTGATTTCATGCTTTAGAAGCTGTCATTGGTGAACATCCAGTTCATGTCACGTTCCAAGTACCGTCACTGAATAATTACTGTAAACCGAGCAGCAGAAGCCACATCTTTCTTCTGAAATTCACTTCAGTTTGTTTTCAGAGGAAACAGAACTCCTAAAACAGAAGTGACTATGTGCTCATGATGATAAATGCTTCATAGAAGAGATCATTTCCGGGTTAAAGTCGACTTGGGTTTGCAATGCAATGGAGATTGACTCGCAAGGTCAGAAATAACGATAAACCAGGGTAAGTGCATGCTTCATGTGCCTCAGTGAGCCTGTGGCTTCCTGCAACCAGAATGTAGTTGCAGTTGTAAAGAGTTCACTGGTACAGTGCAGGAGTGTCATTGCACATGTGGGCTCATGATATGAAGGGTTCAAGTTGCATGACTACTCCATGATAACCCAAAAAGACCGTTAACAAACAAAAAAAAAGCATTAGGTGAAATTCAAGAAAATGCATCACTTTAGCTGTTGTGAAGCAGGTGAGTTTTATATTGTGTGTTATTTACTTCTCACTTTTACTTCTACATGGAGACCCATTTTACCACCACATTTATTTCTTTCATTAGCATAAAGACACCAAGTCAAATGAGTTCAAGACATCTAAAAATAGTGATTAGCATATTTTAAATATTTACTATCTCCCCCTTTCTGATCTGCATATCAATTTTAAAACTGTTAAAACTGTTGCGTTATAGAATGCAATCGGTTGCACCTCTTTTTGTCATTAAGGGGTAAATCTGTAAAACCTTTCTTACCATGTTTCATTTTCGATTCACATCATAGTTATGTGATTTTGTCTCTGCTTTATGTTAATCTTTTAAATAAATCAATCAAAATCCCTCGACCTTTATAGTCATTATATGAGATAAGACTTGAGAAAGAAAACTCTTCACAGCACCATTTATGTAAACAACACTATAGCATGCTCAGTTTCTAGTTGTATATTATCATCCGTCTCGATGTGGCAGATAACAAATGTTAACAGCTACACATACATGAGGGGATTCTTTAGTTTTGTCACAGTAATCTTTTTAAACTTGCTGACATAAACAGAACTCCAGACCCACACACTAACTTACACCATTCTATGATATACTATCTTGCTGTATGGGCCCCATGAGAATCTCATGTGTCACAGACTGTATTACCAAGAAAGTACAACACAAACGATGTTTGTGGACCTCAGGGTCTTCATAATTCACGCTGAGAGTCACTTCCTCATTGTGATGCATTTCTGATTTCTTCAGTATGCAATCCAACGAACATCTGGTTGCAAGCCTACAAAACTAGCTGCCATGCTCATAAAAGCCAGATTTGCAATTCCCTCTAGAGATATTCATAATTCTTCAATTTCTGCAAAACCTCTGACACGTCACTGTTGTTTTTAATTGATTGTGGACGGGACAGTATTTTTTTTTTTCAGAATAGACCTGAAAAGAACTGATCTTGGTCACACGATCTGACTTGACTGAGAACAGTCAAAAAATAGCTAGCTTTGTTGTAGAAAGTTGGCTTTTTTTAGCAGATGTGTGCGCAATAAATAGAAACATGTGTCTTGATGAAACATGATTACTGACCTTTGGGATACATGATATAATATGTAAAAAAATAAATAAAAATAAATCTGAAAGAGGACATTTTTGGGATATCTGAACCAATCAGCTGATGATATTCAAAGCATTGTGAGTTCATGAGAATCGTACAGACAAATACTCATACATAGCCCTACACACTTCATAAACACTGACAGACAGATGAGCAATCGGAAAACAAAGTTATTCTAAAATAAAAAATCTAATTAGAATATGCTTTAAAATTTTTGCTAGGGCTAAATAAAATACAAGGACAAATAAAGCTCTACCTATAAAATAGTTTAAATCATACACATTTTGCAAGTATAATATTATTTCATCAAAGTTCAAATCATATTTATATCTGGTGATACACTTCTGGTTGATCATTTAAATGCATACCTGGTTGCAATTTATATTATATTCGGTACATATCCAGCTGTAAATTTAGTTCATAACACTACTGATCTATATATTATATTCATTATTTATAATAGTATTCATCTCTATACTCATTCAGTAGAAAACCCATGTCCTGTGTTTATAGAACCATTATTTATCCTGCACTTGCTGCTATTGCACTTCTGGTTAGACCTAAACTGCATTTCGTTGCCTTGTACCTGTACATGTGTAATGACAATAAAGTTGAATCTAATCTAATCTAATCTAATAGGTTGAAAGTTTTTAAAACACTTTCCTTACAAAAAATACATGGACAAGAAAGTCCAGTTATTTAAACCACTTTTTAAAAGATTGCATTAATGCCAATATTTCTATTGCCATTAAGCAAAAAAAAAAAAAAAAAGAGGTCATGGAGGTCATGTTTTCAACCAAAAGGGATTTGAATAAAGTATTGCATAGTGATGTTTTATATTAAAATATATGTAAAATACTAAAACTAATAATAAAATAATAATAAATGTAGTGTGTAGTTTAAGATATGCTATTGCAATAAAGTGTCCAAACCTCTTTCACATTCTTACCAGGTGTGATAAATATGTATGTGCATAAACAATTCTTATTTTGCATTCATGCTGTATTGTGCACCAAAAGATGAAGTAAGAATAAAGAGGTTTAAAGGGAAATTGGTGTTGCAACGGGTCCTTTATCTTCACAGCTGGGTAGCTTGGGGTTATGAGCCTACTAACAGAATACTCTCAAGATGACTTGGACAGGAAATAAAGACAAAACACTGTCCCTGTTACTAAGTATTAGATGCCATGCCATTTAAATAGTCATATATCAAGTGTTTAACGGAACAAATATTATCGTACTGCCCTAGCGAGTGTTGCTTATCCCGTGACCAAAACGCAATAAATAAATAAATCATACTTTAAAAAGTTATCTAATTTTTGGAAACCAAAACAACATCCAAGTTCAACCAATGAACACGCCCACCTCTTCCGCACTAGCCAATCAAACGCCTACATCCAGTGCGGGCGGCCAATAAGCATTCAGTAAGGCGGGCACTAGCGGCTGTTGCTAGGGCATATCACCAATGACTTCCCCCGGTCAAGCCAATCACATCGCGCGGAGGTGTTTCATTCGCGAGGGGAGCGTTTCTGATTGGTCAGCGGTGTAATCACTTGGTTTCCTGAGTTCAGATGCTGCTGTTACTGTAGTTTGGAGCCGACAGGACTCAGAAGTGAACGTAGCAGCATCTAGGGATCGCTGAAGAACAGTTTTTAATTTTCATCCTCATTCCATTATTTTATGATTTGTACATTTGTGTAGATATATATATATTCTAAATTCTATTTTTTTAAGGAATAAATAAAAAAAGCCGGAGAAGATGGAACTGAATTCGCTTTTAATTTTGCTGGAGGCTGCAGAATATTTGGAGAGAAGAGATAGAGGTAATTAAAGCTGATGTTGGTGGCATGTATATGAAAAAGCTGTTTTTTTGTGCATGGGTAAATTAGAAATGGGCTCGACTGAATGCTGCTGGGTTTTTAACACATATCCTGCCTACAGTGCAGGTATGATGTCACTTGTTTCTCATTGGGACACAGACAAGGCGACAAAGTGGACCCTGAAGCATCATGTGCTTCAGAAAGATAAAGTATTTTACTTTTTTTTTTTTTTTTTAGTAATGCATCTTGCTCGGGTATTTCGTTTGATAAATGGAAATATATAAAATCTATAAAAACGTGCGTTATTTTGCACAGACATGCGTTATATCTTACAATGATTATATTCATCAATGCTTTGATGATGTGTCAGCACAGGAAAAAAAAATAACATTTTCCTTTTTTTTTTGTCTTATATGTGTGTCCACAGAGGCAGAACACGGTTATGCGTCTGTTTTTCCTTACAGCAACGACTTTTCCAGAAAGAAAACTAAAGCTGCACCAATTTCAAGAAAAGCTCAGAACAATAGGTAAACATATATGTCTTGCTTTTAATGTGACATGTCAATGTAAAGTGTAGTAGTGCCTAAGCATGAGTAGCCCAGCCCTGTGTGTGTCTGGGCTGGGCTGGGATCACTGTGTTTTGGTCTCTCCAATCAACAGTGCCACGCGTACACTGTCAACTCTGTCTGTTTCTGTGCGTCCCTCCTCACGCTGAGAGCCCAGAGAGAGAGAGACAATCACATGCACATCCGACTTGCATTTAACCTTTCGTTTCTGCAGCTTGTCTAACACAGCTTGCAATACTTTCACTCCAGTTAAAAGTCTTGTGTTTTTCATGTGGCTGAGAGTGTTTTGTTTGGTGTGTCTGCTTGCAGAATGAAAGTCCTGCAAAAAGAAAGAGGGGTCGCATTTCTTCACATAGCCAAACATACACAGAGACCAAAGGCAGACCCCATTCTGCTTGTCCTTTTATTTATTTTTTTTTTTACCCCTTTTAAATCAGACTATCTGGGGTTTTTTTCTTCCTTTTCTTCCTTTAGTTCCCCCCCTGAAAGGCGCCTCCCATTCCAGCAGACTTTAAGAAGGTCTGCTGGACTGCATTACATAACTGCAGCTTTCAGTTTCGGTTCAGTTTAGCTTTATGACTTTTAAATGGTTAGATGAATGACTAAAGGTCGATATTTTATCCTTTTTTGTCAGAATAGCTCTGGCTTTACCACTTTGTGTCCTGCTTAGCTTCTATTTATATTCCATATCCTTGTGCATTGAATATCAGTTCATTTTAGAACTCTTTATTGCTGGATCTGTGAAATTTCATTTTTAATTTCATATTATTGACATTATTTTCTGAATATTTTGTAATTTAAGGTAAAGCGGAGGATATTCTTTTTGTGGGTGGATCATCAAGATTAGTTGTCCTCCTAATTGTCAATCAAGGCGACATGCTAGGCCCCATTTTCATCTTTGGGACTGATATATTGGAAAAATTGCAAATCTTCTTTTGGAAAGTAAGCTTGCATGAGCGATGCAAACAGCAACTTTTAAACAGAGCGTGCACGAGGAGAAACGGGCTCGTGCACGCTCTTGCACGTGTTTAATAGACGTTCCCTCTCAGGAGCGGGCACAGGGTTGTGCATTAAGTGGAGGGGGCGGGTCTTTTCGAATCAAAAATTTGCGCAAATTCTCCACTATACTAATAAACAGAGATTTTGACTGTTACTAGACGGACGTATTAGCGGGAGTTTTTCAAGATGGATTTGTTGAGACTGCAAACTCAGATCTCGCCACTTTATAGCTTGCAGCACAAGATTAATTTTCAATGCTAATTAAGGACATATAAAAAAAAATACTTTAATTCATCAGAGGAAATGGAAGAACACCCTTTTTTTCCAGAAGACATTCACTCCAAAATGACTATATTACGAGGGTAACACTAGGTAGAGGCCGATACCCAATACTAGTACGAAAACATTACCATTTTGTTATTCATTCTAATTGTACCTACTTATATATAATCCTGTTTTGAACCCAGCCACTGACCCATTGTGTGTCACTAATATCCATCTTTGATTGCGTTTCTGAGTCATGCAACTGTAATGAAATCCAAGACATTCCATCGTATTATTAGACCTTACTGCAACCCTGAGTGACTTTAAACCATCAACACGCCTGCATCAGGTGGTTAGTTACTGTGGTTATTAACATAGGGTAAGGAGGGAGGAAGCAGTGTGTGTGCGATGATGTAAGACTTTTACTGAAAGCAGAACCGTTTTCAGGTAAAGAAGTGAATACTGTACAGAAAGCAGCGGAAATAACGGCAAATTTGCATTCTTTTATTCAGTTTTAGATTTTAGTTCGATGTGTATGCCGGAGATCTTCTAAATGTCCCACTTTCTTTACTGTTTCGCTCAGGAAGGTCGGTGGTGACACAAAACCTCGCATCTTCATTATTCAGTTCTGCTCTGTTCCTGGACAGTAATCATCCAAAGCAATATATATATTTTAGTTATTTTAGATGGTAAAGGGCATCCTTAGGCTTAGACCTTACAATAATCTGGATTTATAATAAAAGATGGTTTCAGGACAGTTATTTCCTGCAAGGGGAGGGGGGTATTGCTGCAAAAAAATCTTGCAAATATCCTTTTTGCTTATTGAAAAACTGCAACTTAACTTTACATACCACAGATTGCTGCCTGTTTGAAATGTAACCTGAGGAATTGATTGGGTAATAAATCCTTTAAGCTCATGTTGCTAAAAACAGAGTTGTCACACCAGATTGACCTTCCCTTCATTTGTCTGCAGAACCTATTCAATCTACTGGAGACACGCCCTTACTAGGAAACTAATTTAGTCTTTTTAAATGAGCATGTGTTTTTTTTCATAGGGAACTGATCCCGGTGTGTGACAGTGGTTATGTTTGGTTAGTAATTCCCTGTTTATCTGAATAAATAATGAGTTTGATAGGGAACCTGAATGACTTGATGGTTCTGTTTGTAGGAAGCATCCATTTAAATGCTGTTTTATGAAGAGGTTGCTTTTGGATCGTCATTCCTCGGTAGTGAACCTGTTTCTACTATTTCTGTGGGTCCAGTTTCGTTAAATCAGAAGTTGTACTTCAAGTGCATCCAGATCCACCAGCATGCTGTTGAACTTAGAAGGAAACGCATCCTTTCAGGTAATGGTGAATGATGAAAAGGATGTGCGGATGCGCCCCTGGGTGTGGTGGCCCACACACATACCTGTGGAACGAACCCACGCCCACCGGATCTGAAGTCTCTCTTTCACGCCATCCTCCTCTAACTGCTCAGTACCCACATTCCCTTTTATTTTTAAGGCTTTGACTGGACCTTTAGGTTTAGTCCTTGAAGCTGACTAATAATAAGTAGCCTATAGTGAATTAAAAAAGAGGGTCAAATAGAAAAAAGATGGAGGTAAAATGTTGAGTCAAATCAGTAAAAAAAAAAAAGAGATAAAAACAATAATTTCCATTGGCTTATAGAGAGAAGCAAACCTGGCGGAGTTTTTTTGTGTTTTAGCTTATCTGGGGGTCTGTTCCACATTTCTCATCTGAATTAGACAGAAATAGAAATAGCCACATGGAAAAGAGCTTTATATGCAGCCTTGAATTCTTTCCTGTGAGTAGGGAAATGGTGAGGGGATGGCCTCTGCTGTGCGACTTCCTCCTAAAAGCAGATACAGAGCATCATTGGTTTTGCATGCCAGATACTGTGCCTTTACATAATATGTAAAAAGTCTGTGTTAACTTGCAAGTATTTCCGTCCTGCTCATGACTTCCTGGTCATTCCCTGTGCTTTGACTGGGACGTTTCCCACAATTCGTGCCTCTTTGAATAGCCCGACTTCCTCCATGCTGGACGTCAGGCTCTTTTACTGGATATTTAGAAGTGCAGCAGTGTGACGTCCTGCACTCCTTTCTGGGATGATACTGTGCAGACAGATCCGGGTAACCCTTTAGGCGCATCAAACGTCGTCGTGGGACAGCTGTGGGAACCACTGCCTTGGGAGCAGTGGAAAGTTTGAAAAAGGGCTTGTTTTCAGCCTCGGTCCCCTTTGTTGCTGTTTTTGTTTGTTGGTGCTGCGGTATCCATGATGGCCTCATGAACAGAGGGCCTGTTTCGGCTGCCCTCCCGGCTGCCTGCGTGTCATAATGCTGGTGGGGAGGAGGTCTTGGAATATCCCACACACTGAGGAATTCTGCAGCGTCTGAAGCCTCCAGACGTCTGAGAGGGTTTTTTATTTTTCCATGTCCTCGTCCGCTGACCAGCTATCGTGCAGAAACAGCAGAAGGGCATCCAGGATGCACGCTTTGTCACACAAACCACACTGTCCAAAGAGAAGCTGCGCTCTCAGCATTTTAGATGGAAAGCCCTGTTAAAACTTTACATTAATAGAGCTTATTTGAAAGATTTTTATTGCTTCACCCCCATAAGGACTCAAAATTGGTGAAAATTTGCTGTCAGAAGGGGTGTGATGCTCTTCTGCAGCTGGACGTCGCCCCTCATGTCAGTCAGTTTTCCACCTCAGCTGATTTTTTTTTTTATTAGCCCATCTGTCTGTACACAGCAGCTTTAGTTAGAGTACAAACATATCTTTGAAAAGGTTTTTTGGCCTCATTAAACTGATCTGGAATTATTTTTCCTAGCTCCCTGTTTGCTCGGGCTTCTGCTTTATGACCTACTTTCTGTTGATGTTGGGTTCATGGCCAGATGTGCTGATGTTTTCTTGCATGGTTTGTTGTCATGCTTAGACGTGGCCAATCAGAACCGAACCCTCACATCATGGTTGATATTTTGCAATTTAGCGCCTTTCTTGTGATATTATTTTCTTGAGTTGAGGTCAGTCGGCAGCTTTTCCAGCTCATGCTTCGGCTGCAACTAATGATTATTTTGCAGATCATTTCAATTCAGTTTATTTATATAGCGACAGTTCACAACACATGTAATCTCAAGGCATTTTACAGTTCACCAGATCATCCAGTCAAATTGATTCTATCTATCTAATTGATTTTCTATCTAAGGAAAACCAGTTGATTGCATCGACTCATTGACTCGAATGCAATCCCTCACACTAAGCATGCTTGTAGCGACAGTGGAGAGGAAAAACTCCCTTTTAACAGGAAGAAGCCTCCAGCAGAACCAGGCTCAGTGTGAGCGGCCATCTACTGAGGCCGACTGGGGTTCAAGAGATTAATCTCTATATTATTTTCTCGATTCATAGATTAATATTCAGATAGCCAAAGGTTCCTTAAAAAAGACTTTTCACGAAATTAAACCAGGTGAAACTAAAACTTTTCTGCTTAAGGAGGATGGATAGAGCACATTGACAGACAAAAAATATTGTGTTTATCTTAAATGCAAAATGTTTACATATATTTCTTTACAATCTTGGTATAATTACAGCTCTAAGTGGGTTGCTCTGTCAGCAAAAGACACGTTTTAAAGTCTCTATAGTCCAGTTAACGATTATTTCAATAATGGATTAATCACGAGTAATGAATTGCTTCAGCCATAGCTCATACCCATATTTTATAACCCTACAGTCCCTTTGTTCTAACTTTCCCATAACAGTTAGATTCTTTTATGATATAATGTTGGACAAAATATGGACACAAATAATCATAGAAAATCTCATAGAATCTAATTGAAACATGTATGTGTTTTTTTTTTTTTTTTTTTTTTTAGGCATTTAATCCTATTTTAATTTGATTTAGTTTATTTTTCCATTGTGCGCCAGTAGATTCTTGTTAATGGGACTGATAATTATATTTAATTGCAGTTGAGGCTGGGTGTTTGCAGGACGAAATGTCCCGTACACCTTTTAAATGTTGCTGCGAAATGAGCGAAGCATAAAAAAAAGAGAGTTTCGCGGAATGACACAATTTATTTTCGTACATTAATGTCTAACAGCAAAAGCTACATTTCTTTTGTTGTTTGACCATCTGTTTCCATTAATTGTGGTTCTAATATCTGTTGGAATGAATAAAGCAGCATAACTATGAAAGACTTCCTGCTGGTGACTAATATTAACTTCAGCGCCATCATTCCCGTACATTAGACTAAGAGTTATAAATAATACTATAAATAACTATTTCTCAAAACCGGTATGAAACATTTCTAAGAGAACGAAATTATGCGTGTGACACTTAAGATGAGTGTTGTTGACTTTTAGTTAGTTTTCTAAATCAAAGAATTTTAAGCAGCTTTTCTTTTCTTTTATTTCCTGCAAACTAACAGACATCTTTGCGAAGAGCTTTGTGTGATTTTTTTTCCCCCCGCTAATAGTAGATTTGATTTGATCAATATTAACTAAAGTGAAAGAGGTCTTAAGATGCTTAGTGGCTAACCTGAGTTCCTTTTTGAAGAACCTTAGCATAACAGCTTTTTACACACCTTTCACTGGGGGTTATCTTAGTTGGCTGACCCCTCCCTGACAGGTTAACAGTGGTGTTGGGTTTCCTCCATCTGTACAAAACGTTCCTGGAGGATTTGTGTAATACAAACTGCTTATTAACCTTTTAACCTTTCCGCCCCTACGATCGTCTCCAAGCTTAAGGAGTTCAGAGCTTGATCGATCTGTGACCTCTACATATGATCTTGTTGACTCTTTACTGCTTTTCCTGCATTAATGGAATATAGTATATGTAGTATAAGAGTTATATGAAGATCTGATGAGTCAGTTAAGGCGGAAAAGTTCAGGAGCTTTGGAAAATTAACCTAGCGAGAGGTCAGCGTCCGTTTCTGCTCCTTTTTTGTCAGTATACTCAGATTTTTTCACTTTTAAAGCCTTTTTTTGTCTCTAATCTCTGTATGTTTTCCTTTTCTTGGTGTGTTCCTCTAAACTTGCTAAATCTGTTGCACATTCAAAAAAAAAAAATGCTTTTTATGATGTTGCCTGATATTTTAGGGGTTATATGATTATTGGTTTTTGACTTTCGTCTTTTCTTTTTCCAGATCGTCACACAACGAGCTGGAGAAACACAGGTAAGCTGTCATCGGACACCCTGCAGTCCTCTCTGTTGTTCTAATGTCTGTTTGATTGCTGGTTGTTTTTCTGAGAACCTCCCAGGCTGCAAATAGATGGCAGATTTATTCCTCTCAGGCAAAAAAAGTATGTATGGTCATCTTCAAAGAGAGAGAGAGAGAGATTTAGATAATTAATTTCTGGTGTCTGAGATCTGATAATGAGATGATTTCAAAGAGAAGCTCAGAGTGCATCAGATCTGTTTCCATTTCATAGCAGAAATCTGCCGGCATACTGGGGAATCCTGTCAGAAACATGATAATCCTGCCCAGAATATCGCTGTGAATGGAAGCAGGGAGAATCTGGAGCCTTTTTTGTCATTTCTCCAGACTCAGAAGTCCACAGATGGCACGCACACTCTCTGATCCAGCTTTTTTTCCCAGCATGCACCGCTCTCAAAGCACAAAATTGTTTTCCTTTTACTTATTTTTGGGAGCAACTCTCACGACTCATGGTGTGGGCACGGGAAGCACAGATGTCTGTTTTCGCTCTGTTTTGACTTCCATCTCACCAGGAATTAAGCTAAAACAAAAGCTGTTTTGTTTTCTCCCCCCCAACCCCCCCGTGTTAAGCACTGCTTCATAAAAATATTCATATGTATTTTTCATGGAACAAATGTACACATTTTTTGAGGGAGATTTAAGTGACATTATTGTATAATAACATGGTGGAATGGAAAATTCACCTTTTTATACAAGATTTACACAAGTAGAGAATGAGGCTTTTGCTTCCACAGAGGGGAAGCTCTGTTAGATTGGAGGGATTGTGAACGTCCTGCTTGTTTGCCATGTTTGTTGTGTCCCTCAGATCCCTTTTTCTTTCATCGATGGCTTTCTTCTTTCACTCTTCCATTAAGACCAGATTTGTGGAGTCAATATTCTTAGTAGTCCTGTCAACAGAAGTTTAACGGGTTTGATTACTTTTTGCAAAGCATGATAACAAGGTGCAAATTCTTCGGGTTCTTTGGTTTCCCCTAAATGCAGCTGGCCTTTTCTTGTGGCTTTAGAAAACCAGGTGATGTGACGGGCAGCATGTGAGCAGTGGTGTCTTTAATGCTGACACACACTGTCAGGGCTCGGGGTTTGCCAGTCACATGTCTGGGAGTGAGTAATTGTGTGTGTGTGTGTGTGTGTGTGTGTGCTATGAAGTGAAACAAGTAGGGACATATTCCTCCCTGACGTGCGAGGCAGAGACGTAGACCCTGGATGATTTCTCTGCAGGGGTTGAGACACAGAAGTTTCCTCATGTCCAATGACGGGTGTGGCTGGTTATTACTAATGACCAGTCAAACTGACAAACACGTACCAGTAAAGTCTTCCATCACCAGTTTACACACTTCCCTTATCATAAGTGGGGTTTTTTTCTTTTATAAAATGTGGACTGAAACACCTGACTTCTATTATGTTTACCAACGTTGTGATAAATATATATGATATATAATGGCCTGTTAATATGTCACCTTCTGTTTTTCTTTTTGTGGCCGTTTCTGTGGAAATTCTCAGTCTGTTATTATTATTATTATTTTCTTTGTAATGACAGGGCCCACCTTCTGATGGATGTCATTTTTATTATTTGCAACACCGTGACTCAAATCCTTGTCTGAGCATGTGCCCTCAAATTACAAGGTCCAAAGTACACGTCAGGACCTTGTGTCGGTAAACGTCTTGCATTAAACCCTCTACCTGTTACAGCTGGGTTTGTTTGGAAATTCTGGCGAATGCCGATGTGACGGGGCATATTTTATAGACATTCAGCTTGGAGTAGTTCAGCGCTCTCCTGCTCGCCACTGGGACGCGTTTCTTTTACTTCTAAGATTTAAATGAACATTTTTTACTGTTTGGAAAAAATTCCTGAAGCAAAAGTTTAATGGATGAAACATTAGTGGAACAAATCACCAGTTTTTTTGTGAATTAATGTTATATTGATTTATTTAGATGACGATACAATAACTGTCGATATCACAAAGTCTGTGTGAGTACGATTTCTCATAAGTCTGTGATTGATATTAGGCCATATTATATCCCTTTTAAAAAAAAATCTAATATGGTAGAATTATTTTATTCCTAAGCTTTTTCAGCCTTTTCCTAATCATAAAAGTATCATCCTACTCTAGTGCAGTGGATTTTAAAATAAAGGCATATAGATAAAGGCATATCCTAAAGGCCTTTATTTTGAAATTCACTGCCCTATATAAGGATTATACTTTTATGATGAGAAAAAGGCGGTTGCCTGTAAGAGTTAGAAGTCGTGTGGATGCAATGTTTTCATTTTGTATTAATGTATTGTTAAAACCCTATAAAATATTCTGTTCTAAGAACATTATTACTTAAAAGCTATTTATGGAGTTAAAATGATTTAATTCTATATTTTTCAATTTATAATAAACAATAATACTGACATCATTGTACCTGTAATAACATGTTACCTATGTTATTCTGGGAGTCATAGGGATAAGTTTTGTTTTTTTTCTTTGCAGTAAAAGTATGCTATATGTTTTTGCTTTAAACACTCTCCCTGTCATCTAGATGATGAAGTCCAAATGCATTGTGTTCGAAGCCAAAATATAGAATATTATTAAAACTAATTGAAACTTTCCAGACTGTAAAACACGCTGGAAAAGTCGGAAATAAAGGTAAACAGGATTTTTTCAGTTATTTAAAAAAAATGTTTGGCCTCCACTGATACAGCTGTGTTAGTGGGAGACTAGTGCCGGCAAGCCATTGTATCATATAATCTCCCACTTTGCTACCCCCGAACGTTTCCAGCTAGATGCAGTTATAACTTTTCTTTTTTCAATTTATCTACTCCAGCAACATCTAACTGCCTCATTTTCAAAATTTTTTTAGTAGTAATTTTGTTACTTAAGGAACCTAAATCATGCCTCATTATTTGAAAGAAGAAATAATATATCTTTTTTATTTTGTCAAATCACCTGTGGCAGTTTTATAAGGGTAATCCAGCCTTTTATGGTAGAACTATGTAATACTTCAAGCTAATAACAATAAAAATCTGTATTTTATTTGTTTTTAAATCATATTTTTGTGAGAACTATTATAAGTCTAGTTTTATTTTATTTCAGCATCATTGCATGACATCAAAATTCTATTAAATACATGTTTTGGTAGTTTAGATAAAAGCAATCGGAGCTGCCTGTTGATGTTTTAGAAGGGTTACTTTTTATGCAGTTCAACATTTAAACCATCATCATTTGGGAATTTGAGTTTAATTGGGAAAAGTGTCTCTTATCCTCTGCTGTATTCGGGATAATCTAGATGTGTCCTCAAACAAACTGCCGCAATATTTAAACAAATTTATTTGCATGACGCTGAAACATAAACGAGTAACCAGAGCTTTTTAGTACCAAGGCTTTTGTGGTTAACTGATGGCAGTTTTCCAGATTTTTTTGCTTATGTCCTTTATATTTTACGATCTTTTAGAATATTTTCGCCCACATATTAACCGTTTACTGAACTGAATTTGTCTGAAAGTTGCTTGTCCTGCTGATGATTCATTTTGAAACCAAAAGTCCTCCAGGAGTCCTGTTGAACCAGTTGGAAACATCTTTAACATACTTTTAGAGATGCAGACCTGTTAAATCCCCAGCAATCCCAGTTTCGTCGTCACCACCTTTATTTCTTCCATCACGCCATTAGACATATCTACAGGGAGGGGCTGCTGTTTGAGCCCTGACTCAGTGTCTTTGTCTGGCCACAGGCTGGGATGTTTAAGTTCACCCTCCATGAGCACAGAGCCGTTCCTTTAGCCGCTTTATGTTCACGTGGCTGACAAGGTGACAAATAAATGTCCAGTTCAGACGTGGAAGGCGTACATTATGGGCAAGGTCTGGTTTGACCTGCTACCAGACCTTAATTATACCCGATTTAAAACAAGAAATGTTTTGCCTTTTTGTCACTTTCAAAGCAAAATTCAGGCTCCATCATATAACTTCTCCCTATTCTTTAAAAATTGTTCCAATAAAATACACTCGACCCCATATTAGTAATTCCCATAACATGAGATGTATTTTAATTCAACAAAAGTATCAACATGAGGGTGGAGGTTGGTTGAGGACCCAAATGCAGAGATGAGTTCTTGTAGGTTTAATCAAAAAAAGGCAACAGAAACAAAATCCAAGAGCCAAAAACCAGGAGACAACAGGGGAAAACGCACATGGGGGCCAAGTTACAGCAAGAAACCAGCATTGAAGAACTGCAGAGGGAGACAGAACAAAGACTGGGGTCATCAACTGATATGGAGCAGGTGTGGATGGAAGACTAGAAGGGCGCTAGGGGAAGGGAGACAGAGATTAACTTAAGACTGCTTAAATGTAACATAAAATGGAAAATAAACCAAAGATCAGCTAAATAGAATTACTGAAAACTAAAAGAAAGTCCCAAAAGGGAGAACCCTAAAAAAAAGGTTTGTTTCTAATAGGAAATAAGACAGGCGGCTCTCTCCTGTTAATGTTAGAGGACTATTGAAGTTAGAAAAGCATGGTTCACTTGTTCAGAAGGCTTCCACCCTCATTTTTAGCTCTCTCCACAGATAATCTATTCAGTCATATTTTGCTGAGACAGAGTCTCATCAAAAGATAAATGATTGGTGAAATCATTAGATCACTTTAAATCAAAATATGAAATACTTTTAACATTGTCATTACTGAGGTCATCTTTATAAAGCCTTGATCAAAGTGTCTGCTAGTGATCTGCATGTATAACAGTAGGAGCTGCAGGGATAAACAAATAACTTCTCACAGAAAAACAGAAGCTTATAGTCACGCTACATTCGGATGTTAATATGTGTCATACTTGTATATTTCATGGCAGCAGTTTAAAGTAAATAAAAGTCTTCAGTATGCATTTTACTCAGGCAGTGGTTTTGCTGGCTACTACACTTTGATCTTCTGCTTGTGGGTGTCTGCCGCTGCTGAGTTGGCAGGCACTCTGGAGGCACCCTGCAT